CTGGAGTAATCCAACTCCCAGGTATGAGAGTGAGTGGATGCAGGTGTGTCTCGTCAGCAGCCCAGCAGAGACCGGCCACGCCCCCAGCAGAGACCGGCCACGCCCCCCAGCAGAGACCGGCCACGCCCCCAGCAGAGACCGGCCACGCCCCCAGCAGAGACCGGCCACGCCCCCCAGCAGAGACGGCCACGCCCCCTTGTCTCACACATGCTCTGGAGAGAAAACAGGATGGGAGGGAGAGAATAAAATAAACAGAACCATGACACAGGAAGCTCTTTGTTTTACATAATACAGTTGAATTAGTTCATCTGTGTGCATTTGCATTGAACTTACATGGAAGAGACTTGTTTACATAAAGGCGGTGTAAGATAAGAGTTCCTTTATTCGTGCCACAGTGGGGAAAACAGACAGGACAGTAGTAAGAGCACACAGGGAGCACACAAAATATACAAAAAAAGTAGTAGCTGTATTACTTAACTATCTGTAAATGCGTCAATACCAGTCTTTCAAAATAAAAAAAAATATATACATACACATGTAGTAGTGCAGAGTTATAAGATAAGAGGATAAGAAGTAGATAAGAAGTAAAGTGACATTGTTCTGTGACATTTTGAAGTTGCAGTTTTGCACATTGCACATGATTTAAGAATTTACTTAATTACAGATGAATGAAATTTACAGACTCAGCAGTTCTTATTGTACAGTCTGACAGCAGCAGGAAGGAAAGACCTACGGAACCTCTCCTTCACACAGCGAGGGTGAATTAGTCTGTCACTGAAGCTGCTCTCCAGAGCAGAGAGAGTGTCCTGCAGGGGGCGACAGTCATGGTCCAGCATAGATGTTAGTTTGCTCAGGACCCTCCTGTCCCCCACCTGCTGCACTGTGTCCAGGGAACAGCCCAGGACTGAGCTGGACTTCCTGATGACCTTGTCCAGCTTCTTCCTGTCCCTCTCTGTGATGCTGCTGTTCCAGCAGACCACACCGTACAAGAGGCTGATGCCACCACAGAGTCATAGAAGGTCTTCAGGAGTGGCCCCTGCACTCCAAAAGACCTAAGCCTCCTCAGCAGGTAGAGGCGACTCTGGCCCTTCTTGAAGAGGGCGTCCATTCTTGTTATGAGTCCAGTCCAGTTTGTGGTTCAGATGAACACCCAGGTACTTGTAAGAGCCTTCTTTATTATGATAAAGCCAGAGATTCACTCAGATGAACTGGAGGAGGTGTTTGTGGAAATGGAAGTCATTGGGCCATTGTTTTGAATACGTGTACCCTTCGATCATTAGTTATTCCGTTTCAAAACAAAATCAGAAAAACAAATTACGTGGTTGTTTTATTGTATTTCCAATTTCTAAATTAAATTGGAAAATCAAAACATTCTAAATGAAATATTCACCCATTTCTTTGCTATGCAGTGGAAACAAACACTACTAAAACAACTTCCATTATTTTGTTTGATATGCTACCGGAAATGATGAGTGGTGAGAGATGGAAACAACTGCACTAAACTCAACTCAACTACACGACAACAACTCGCGCTGTTGTTGAGCCCGCCCCCAGGCCCGAGCTCCAGGGGCAAAATGCTTACAGCACCTGGTATTCCCAGGCGGTCTCCCATCCAAGTACTATGGGGAAAACTTTGTGCGCACTGCTCTCAAACAGAGAGAGCCGGCTTTCTCAATTCATTCTGGATTACACACGCACTCGGTAAGTCTCCTCTGATAAACACAATGTTTTTGTGCTCGTTCTTTATGTTTCACTCCATAAATCTCTCATATTGTGCGTAGATCGTTCACACACGTCTGTAGTTTAAATCTCGAGTGTGTAGTGCGCTGTTTATGATTGTTTAACTCCGTGTCATATGTTTGTTGCTGCTGCTGCTCGTAGATCTCTCTGTTTGGATCAATATTGTAAAGAAAACACTTTCTCTGCGTTGTACAAACAATCTGTATTCACTGTATTCTACTGTATACAGTAATGCAGTTTGTTTACGTCTGGTTGTAGTAGTATTTCCAGCGCTAGCTAATTATTATTAGCTAATTATTGTTGATGTGTGTACTATCTATATGTATTTCCCATTTCTATAGTTCAGCAACACATTGAGTTGAAAATTAATTATATGCAGTTAGTTTACGACAATGTATTAGTGTTTTACCAGTTCATATTTTCCTTCTATAACTGTACTTACTGTATCCCAGAGCCTCATGCTGCTAATGTCCAGATGTAAACATACAACTGTATATGTCTTCTCTAGATTATACAAGATTCATGCTTCTTTATTATGCTAAATTGAATTATTTTATTCTTTATTATGCTAAAGATATATACATTATACATACTTCTCTATCATGCTATAGCTAGATATTTTATGATCTTTTTTTGTTGTTGCAGACAATATGAAGACATTTTCATTCTTTCCTGGCCGCGTCACTGTGATTTTTCACAAGGGCCCACGTGGATTCCTGCTGCAGGACCCTTCGGAGGAGGCGAGGAAGATCAGGGACGACCCGTCCATGAGGGAGTGCGGTGCTCCTCAGAGGGAGGAGGTGGTGAGGGAGAACGGCCTCACTCTGGTGCGAGTGAGAGGAGGTGATGCCTCAGACAAGGCTGAAGTGCTGGGGGAGTACATCGCTCACAGCAGGCAGTAAGACCAGCACAGTGCCTGCTGTCACTCTCATGTCACCGCTGTCTGAGGAGGACATAGAGAAGGTTGTGCAGCGGATCTTGGAAAAGCAGCAGCAGCCTCCAGCAAATAAACCCCACACAAAGAAATGCCTGTCTTGTGGCCAGCCAAAATCCAAATATGAGGGCGATGGCAGCTCCATCCACGAGTTTTTACCAGGTATTTCTATTGCTCCACCAAGGTCTATAACACCTATCGCACAGAGGGTTTGACCAACTCCAGGATGCCATTCTGAGACTTTATGGACACTGAGTTCTGCCAGAGAGAGCTGGAGGCCACGCAGCAGAGAGTGAATGAGCTGCAGGAGAAGAAAAGGAAGAGAGATGAGTCTCCTGCCGCTGGGAGAAAGTGCGGGTTCTGCAAACTGCAGCTGAAGCAGGGACCAGTCCTCACATTCATACACAATTCCCTGGTCTGTCAGGGAAATACATCTACTGCCCTGCCAAAGTATTCTCCCTGTACAAGGACCAGGGGATGGAGACGCAGATGTTCCAGCAGTCTCCTTTTTATGACCGGGAGAGGGAAAGGTGGCGTGTAAATAAATGAGCTATCTGCTGTCCATTGGTGCTATTGTATATAGTTACTATATTATACCTGTCTGTTCATAAATGTTTATAAATATTCTAATTATTATGTAAATATATACTTAATATTCATCCATCCATCCATTTTCTTCCCCTTAATCCATTTCTGGGTCGGGGGGGTGGCAGTCAGAGCTGCACCCAGTACACTTAGCACCAGCCCCTCACTGATCCTCCTGCAGGTGGTGAGTCCACAGGAGCTATACTTAATATTGATTATATCTAATTATATAATTTCATTTGTAAAGTCTGCATCTACAGTTCTGTATAGTCAGCTCTCAGCCGTCACAGTCACAGGGCTCATCACACAAATACTAGTTTAAGAAGATAAAGATAGCATGTTGTTGTTTTTCTTCTAAGTGTATTTCTTAAATTTGTAAATATCTCTTTTTTCATCTGTTCACTATAAATATATTATAATGTCATACATTATTGAAGTCTTTCTTTTTATTGATCATATTTCAGGGCAAACAGTAGTATTTGACAAAACAATCTGTATAGAAAATAGAGTTTCAGTTCAGTGCCAATCAACGATATGCCCACTATACGCGGCTGGCCCCCGCGGCCCGACCTTGCCAAGCTTCCGAGATCAGACGAGATCGGGCATTCTCAAGGTGGTATGGCCGTAAGCACGGGGGTATGGAGCAGCGTGCCTCCTGACCCTGCTGCTGCGGTCCTCTCCTCTCCCAGAATGAGCGCTCAGGCCTGGGTCTGAGCGGGAGCAAAGCCCTCCCCGGTGATAGCCCAGAACCGGAGGAGTGCGTGGGTTCTCCTCCCCCAGAAGGAGCGCTCTTGGGCGGATGGTAGACGCGCGGTCCCCCGGTGGTTTCCAAGGGCCATAACTTTCTGGTCCTTTATCCCCCGCGCGTCAAATTCACACCGCGGGTAGGACCAGGGGAGTCCCACCCCCGCGTCTGTAGCCCCCCTTCCACGAAGTCTCTTCTCTCTTCCGGTGTCGTAAATAATAATAAAACGAAATAATAGTAATGCCATAATTCTTTTGAGAATTTTAAACAACTAGAGCCAAAACAAACACATTGATATTGAAGCATAGAGGATTTGATTTTCCAATTTGATTTAGAAAAGGAAAATAACAATAAACAAATGGAAAATTTGTTTTTCTGATTTTATTTTGAAACGGAATAACTAATGATCGAAGGGTACACGGATTGTTTTTAGTTTCTTTGTTTTGTTTTGTTCGCTTTTTACATCATGCGCTCTGGACTATGTGTGTTCATCTGACTCAGAGAGAGAGACGGAGAGGAATAGAGAGAGACAGAGAGGAAGAGAGAGAGAGACAGAGAGGACGAAAGAGACAGAGAGGAATAGAGAGAGAGAGAGAGGAAGAGAGAGAGAGAGAGGAAGAGAGAGACAGAGAGGAAGAGAGAGAGGAAGAGAGAGACAGAGAGGAAGAGAGAGACATTGAGGAAGAGAGAGAGACAGCTGAAGAGCGAGATACAAAGAAGAAAAGAGAGAGAGAGGAAGAGAAAGCGAGAGACATAGAGGAAAAAAAGAGACAGTGAGAAAAGAGACATAGAGGAAGAGCGAGAGAGAGAGAAAGAGATCAATACATAGAGAGAGGCAAAGAAATAGAGCAAGACACAGAGACAGAGAAATAGAGAGAGAGAGAGAAAACACACAGAGAGTGAGAGAGAGAGACAGAGAGAGGGAGAGAGAGAAATGTAGAGAGGTGTGAGGTGGTGTCTGCTGGAGGACAATGATTAACCTCCAGAGTGGCACAGATGCAGGGCTGTGATTGGTCAGTGGCACAGATGCAGGGCTGTGATTGGTCAGTAACACAGATGCAGGGCTGTGATATGTCAGTGGCACAGATGCAGGGCTGTGATTGGTCAGTGGCACAGATGCAGGGCTGTGATTGGTCAGTGGCACAGACAAGGGGAGGGGCCACTGATAAGGAGCGGCATCAGTGAACCTCAGTCAGTGCTGAGTTTAGTGATGGAGAAACAGGTGCCTCTGCTGCTGCTGCTGCTGCTGTGGCCTGTCCTCGCGGCTCACATACCGGACCAGGAGAGTCAGGACCTCCACACGGTGCTCCGGGACCTGAGAGCTGCTCTGGCTGAACACCAGGTGAAGATCGAGCTGCTGCAAACTCTCAACCAAGGTCAGACTTCACACACACCAGGTGAAACCAGGTGACACAGGGACAGAGGGAGACACAGGGACAGACACAGAGGGAGACACAGGGACAGACACAGGGACAGACACAGGGACAGAGGGAGACACAGGGACAGACACAGGGACAGACACAGAGGGAGACACAGGGACGGACACAGGGACAGAGGGAGACACAGGGACAGACACAGGGACAGAGGGAGACACAGGGACAGACACAGGGACAGAGGGAGACACAGGGACGGACACAGGGATAGACACAGGGACAGAGGGACACACAGGGACAGAGGGACACACAGGGACGGACACAGGGATAGACACAGGGACAGACACAGGGACAGAGGGAGACACAGGGACAGACACAGGGACAGAGGGAGACACAGGGACGGACACAGGGATAGACACAGGGACAGAGGGACACACAGGGACGGACACAGGGACAGAGGGAGACACAGGGACAGACACAGGGACAGAGGGAGACACAGGGACGGACACAGGGATAGACACAGGGACAGATGGAGACACAGGGACGGACACAGGGAGAGAGGGAGACACAGGGACAGACACAGGGACAGAGGGAGACACAGGGACAGACACAGGGATAGACACAGGGACAGAGGGACAGAAGGAGACACAGGGACAGACACAGGGACAGAGGGAGACACAGGGACAGACACAGGGACAGTGGGAGACACAGTGACAGACACAGGGACAGACACAGGGACAGAAGGAGACACAGGGACAGACACAGGGACAGAGGGAGACATAGGGACAGAGGGAGACACAGGGACAGACACAGGGACAGACACAGGGACAGAGGGAGACACAGGGACAGAGGGAGATGCAGGGACAGACACAGGGACAGAGGGAGACACAGGGACAGAGGGAGATGCAGGGACAGACACAGGGACAGACACAGGGACAGAGGGAGACACAGGGACAGAGGGAGATGCAGGGACAGACACAGACACAGGGACAGACACAGGGACAGAAACTACATTCTTTATTCATTAATTTGAGCAGAGATGGTTACACTCAGACTGTAACACGTTTTACATATTTATTATACGGCTCCTCACAGGGGCGACAGTAGCTCAGTTGGTAGAGCATTGGCCTTAAGCCCAGAAGGTCGTGGGTTCAATTCCCACCTCTGCACCTTCTCCACCGACTCCCACTGATGACTGCTGTCGTTGTGTCCTTGGGCAAGACACTTAACTCCACTTTGCCCAAATCCCCCACTGAAAGATCAAGGCTATGCTCTTGAGCTCTTGAGCAGGAGCAGCCGTCCTCCTGTGGACTCACCACCTGCAGAGGGTCAGTGAGGGGCTGGTGCTATGAGACTTGGGTGGCATCTCTGACTGCCACCCCCCTGACCCAGAAATGGATTAAAGGGAAGAAAATGGATGGATGGATGGATGGCTCCTCACAGCAGCAGTAGAAGCTCCATTGATTTGAATGTAATTTCAAAATGTTCTACCGGTCATTATTTCCTATAACGGACCTCTCAAAACAATAATCGCTGCCCTTTGGCAACGCACTCTGTGCTTGTCTTTCAAATGCGTGGATAACTCCGCAAGTAGTTCCGGCCACTCCTGAGCTAGCCACGCTCAATCAACACACTTAAATGTTAATCGGAGAATACTTATACATATACATTCTTCACACACGTGCGCGGAGGATTTCAGAATTTACTGCTCTTGTCTTCATGACAAAAATACTATTTCTCTGCGTCAAAAAGCGATCGTGAAAAACCCGGAAGTAGTTCCAGCCGCTCCGGAGCTAGCCACTCTCAATAAACAAAAATCAATCAACACAATTAAATGTTAATCGGAGAATACTTTATACATATACATTATTAATACAAGTGCACGGAGGTTTTCAGAATTTTCTATTTACGTTTTCATGACAAAAACACTGATCCCGAAAAACCCGGAAGTAGATACCGGCACATTTTAAGATTTAGTGATTTAGATTTAGATTTAGATTTAATCCATAATTATGGATTTAGGTTAAGTTTATGTTTGTGTCACTCACCGCTGATGTTCAGGATTCTGTGTTCAGTTTTCATGCAGTTCCAGAGAGTTCTAGTTTGGAAGTTGCCAGCCTAACTTGCTAGCATAGCCACGGGAAAGCCTTTGGGAACTATTTTATTTTCTTATTTTAAATTAACCTTTCGGCATTCCTAAAAGTGGACTGAAGTTTATGTTGTGTGTTCTGTTGGTATAAAGCCGTATAATAAGCGGGATAACGTATAGTACACGTCTGCTTCGCCCTGAAGGTACTTATTTTCCGATAATGACCTGCGTAATATACGTTATCCCTTACATAATTTTAGGCCTTTGGGCCTGAAGGTCGTGGGTTCAAATCCACCACGAGACCTACTTCCTTACTCCCACTGATGTCTGCTGTCATTGTGTCCTTGGGCAAGACACTTAACCCCTTTGCCCAAAGCCCCCGCTCCTGTGGACTCAGCACCTGCAGAGGATCAGGGGCTGGTGCTCTGACTGCCACCCCCCCGACCCAGAAATGGATTAAGGGGAAGAAAATGGATGGATGGATTTTTTAATATGTATTTTCTGGTTTAGACCGGATCCTGGTTCAGTCTCTGCGCTGGACAAAACTAGTTTTACAAGTTTGGACTTTTTGACATAACTACATCCTGCCAACAGCACTGTTATGGTTTCAATATATCCTGTTTTTTTATTTGCTCAAACATTTTGATTAGTGCCTTAAAGAAACATTTGTATAGTGCCTTAAACAATCATTTTTATTAGTGCCTTAAACAAACATTTGTATAGTGCCTTAAACAATCATTTTTATTAGTGCCTTAAACAAACATTTGTATAGTGCCTTAAACAATCATTTGTATTAGTGCCTTAAACAAACATTTGTATAGTGCCTTAATCAGATTTAGAATTAGAATCGTTTTTACAGGAGGTCACAGACTTGGAAATTGCTTTGGCTCAGTGCAACAGTGAAACAAACAATTGGATAAGTGCCTTTAACGGGTTCTGATCGTCTTAAGAAAAGAAAAGAAAAACTTTATTGTCCCAAGGGAAATAAGGATGTCGTAGTGCATTAAAGTCTCTGAACTTTATTGAACATTATTACAATTATACATAATTACATCCTGCACAGACAGTGTTTTTGTAGATCTTTAATCATGCATGCCTTTTTGAATTTATTCTGCTTTAACTTGATTGCTCCGAGAGAGACCAGTGAGAGACCAGTGAGAGACCAGAGAGAGACCAGAGAGAGACCAGAGAGAGACCAGAGAGAGACCAGAGAGAGACCAGAGAGAGACCAGAGAGAGAGACCAGAGAGAGACCAGAGAGAGACCAGAGAGAGACCAGAGAGAGACCAGAGAGAGACCAGAGAGACCAGAGAGAGAGACCAGAGAGAGACCAGAGAGAGACCAGAGAGAGACCAGAGAGAGACCAGAGAGAGACCAGTGAGAGACCAGAGAGAGACCAGAGAGAGACCAGAGAGAGACCAGAGAGAGACCAGAGAGAGACCAGAGAGAGACCAGTGAGAGACCAGAGAGAGACCAGAGAGAGACCAGAGAGAGACCAGAGGGAGACCAGAGGGAGACCAGAGAGAGACCAGAGAGAGACCAGAGAGAGACCAGAGAGAGACCAGAGAGAGACCAGAGAGAGACCAGAGAGAGACCAGAGAGAGACCAGGGAGAGGGACCAGAGAGAGACCAGTGAGAGACCAGAGAGAGACCAGAGAGAGACCAGAGAGAGACCAAGGGGAGGCCAGAGAGAGAGACCAGAGAGAGACCAGAGAGAGACCAAGGGGAGGCCAGAGAGAGACCAGAGAGAGACCGGAGAGAGACCAGAGAGAGGGACCAGAGAGAGAGACCAGAGAGAGACCGGAGAGAGACCAGGGAGAGACTCAGCCTGACCTCTGGCACATGTGGCTCTTTTCCCCCTCCGTGTTTTTCTGTTGTGGATATTAACCATTTGCCTGAAGCCCCCGCCGAAAGATCTCAGCTCCTGTGGACTCAGCACCTGCAGGAGGATCAGTGAGGGGCTGGTGTACTGGGTGCAGCTCTGACTGCCACCCCCCCGACCCAGAAATGGATTAAGGGGAAGAAAATGGATGGATGGATGGATATTAACCATGTTTCATTTTAAAGCAGGTGTTATTCGTTTGTAGCCTCCAAACACCTTAAGTTTTAGCAAACAAGAGCAGGACACGCTTTGTCGCTGCATGATGCAAGCTGCGTAGAAGAACAAATTAAAAAATATGTTTTATTTTTCTTCTCCAAACACTATTTAAATTTAAATTTGCTCAAATTGATTGATTTATTTTATTTATTTATTTTGTCGGAAAATCATCTTGCAACCCCCCCCAGGGGATCCTGCGACCCCCTTTGGGAACCACTGCTGTAGATCATGGTTCCTACTCTTGACTGTTTCCACAAAGGCAAGTTCCTGCTCTTTGTGAACAGTAGCCGACCACCTCCACATTCAGATCATTCTGTATAAATATGCAACCACAAATTGTTAATATTGGTTTAGTTATTTTTTTCAGTACTGTATACTGTACACCAGTGGTTCCCAAAGTGGGGGTCGCGGGAACCCCTGGGGGGGTCGCAAGATGATTTCCACACACACACAAAAATATTTTTTTTAAAGCCCTTAAATATGTATTTAGCATTTATATATATTATTATATATATTTTATAATATATTTATAAAATATATTTTAATAACGTTAGTAATTTTGTCCCAGTCATTGCAGCGTGTTATAGAATTATATACCCCATGAAGGAGAAAACTCAAAGGTCCTTTGTCTGATCAAAAGCGTAAGTTTATTGTTAACGCACGTGCGGAGAGCCAGCACATCCACTCAAAGGCAGCATGTCCCAGCTCTGGGGGCCAGAGCCCCGAGCTTCCTGTATACAAGACACACACGAAAGCCAGTCCCGCCCACAACAGATGGGAGGGGGGCCACCGGTGCAGGAGGCGCATAGGGATGCAAACAGACTGCAGGATGTAGGAAGTGCACACATACAG